GTGATTTTACACACACATACACACACACACACAGGCAAAAGTAGGTTTACAGCTGTTTGTATGAAAAAAGACATGCAGGTTATGATTATTACAACAGTTTTGTTAACTCTGTTTGGCATACTCACAACTGTAAACCTACTTTTGCGCACTCCTGTATATAAAATTAAAGCTATATTAGAACTAACTTATCCTGATTGACACTCAATAACATTCAACTTCACTAGAAAAATTTTCACCTTCTAATTTAGTTTCTCAGTGAAGCGGAAGCTAAAAACAGTTCCTCAAATGTTTTAATTACTGGCCAATTTCTAGACGTCTGTACTAAGCCTGCACAGTAACAAGCTGATGCTAATAACCCATTGATAAAGATCCTACTTATTAAAATACAAATGAGGCACCCCTTATGCTTATACATGTATAAGTACAATTAATATTGCAGGCTTAGCTGGAAACAAAACTGCTATAGTTAACCAACCATTGCCATACAATCAAATGAGATTTCAAATGCAATTGGGAAAAATCAGTTCTGTAGAAATAGTAGCAATTATTTCATGCAGAACAATTAGCTTTCTAAGCTCTTTTTTTCCTTCTCCCACCTGAGCTTAAAAAAATAATTTGTCCATCATAAGTGACAGGAAATGTCACCTTTAACACCAGTAAGTTATATGGAGACCTGAAAGGCAGCTGGCAGACATAGCTTATATATAAATATTGGTCTGAATGCATAAATGCATGACCACATAAATCTTAATCCATTTAGAGTGTATGCCCTTTGTTCCCTAGGTTTTCGTTCAACTGGGAGCTGAGCGGAGAGAACGTGTGAATTACATGATCCCTTTCTTGCTGCCAGCATTTTAGCACTTTGCCTTTTGTTCTTGTTGTTCATGAGACTTCTCTATATTACACAGTGGGGAATGTTAATCAACATTTTGCCTAAGTAATATTAATAAAACTTGCCTACTTATACTTGAGGGAAGAATCAGAATATTATATTTCTTTTTGAAATGTTAATGTACCTCTTAGGAAATTATTTCTGCCATCTAAATCATCTTAGTGTTAAATTATTAAAGAATGGCATTAAAGAAATACTGCGCTGATGCAAATAGTTAAATACCTAAAAAAGATAAAAGTCTTATAAAGTTTAAAAGAAGGGCCTTTTTAAATATGGTGGCATTTAACTTCAAATTAAACATTTGTAAGTGTTTGGTTAAAATACTGATAAAATCTGCAATTGTTTTTGTGTATTCTCACAATATAAGGAGGGATTTAATGTTGATGATTTCTAATTTCCAGCTCACCACACACCAGTTTTAATTGATTTGTATAAATGGCCTTGAAGGAGTTGCTTAACCTTAGTATACATATATGAACTGAAGCATCGTCTAGTTTATCAACAACAATAAAGGAAAAAGGGAAAAGTGTCTTATTTTTGCACTAGTTACTTATTTGAGGCTGAAGGAGAGGCAATCTTCATTCAGGTCTTATTCTTCAAATACAAAACCACTGCTATCTGACTGTTCTATCACCTATGGTATTGGAAGGGGAAGGGCTATTGTAAAGACTCTATGTATGCCTGACATGGTAAGATATGGAAAATATCAATTCTCAGTGTGCAAACTGTGACAGATATGTGTCCCCTGAATATAGTTCACAGTCCTTCGAGAAGGAGTCAGGAAATGAGTTGACAGGGTCCTAAAGTGGCCTAATCTGTGTTTCCTTTCACAATCTCTTTAATGTCAATCAATATGTTCATATGTCCTAAATAAATTGTGAGGTAATCTAGGGGGAAATTAAAAACAGAATTTGTTTAAGGAATCCTCCACACTGTGACTACTATTTGCTAAGAACTCCTAACATTTACTGGGGAAACAATTTATTTGCTATTTTACCATATAAGACTTAGAAACGGCTTTTGTGTCATTGTGGGACTAATCTGTCTTCTTGTATAAATTTCCCTAGCAGTGCCTCTGTCTGGACATAGGCACTGAGAAAGTAGATAATAAGAGTTTCAAAGTAATTTATTCCACATTTTGAGAGTTGACAAATAAGAATACAGCTTCAAATTGCTTGTGTATCATAAATTAATTGTCTTCCTTTTTTCTTTCTTAGCAATACATAAATGATAGAGTGCCCTACAAATAATGATGGCTTGGATTCAATAAAATATAGTAACAGCTAACACACATTGAAAGTTTTGTGACATCTACAATGGTCACCCATTACTTAGTAAAGAGAAATAAACCATTACCAAAATGTTAATTTAGCGTTAATTGGCTTAAGATCAAAGAGTTTAAAGTATATCTGGGAAAAGAAACTTTATATACATAAAGCAGTAACATAATAATTGAGTAAAAACACTGATGACATAAAAGGCATCACTACATCCCTACTTGCCGTGTGATTTTTTACCACATTATTCCTCAGAAAACTAAAAATGACATGCAACTAATAAATGACTATGTGAAATATTATCAAGTTCCTTAATTGAAAAAAAAGCTTTCTGAAAGCAATGGAATCTATATATAAAAGAAGCTGATCTGGAACACTTAATTTTGGGATTCTCAGAATTACTTGTGATTTAAACTGAAACAGCACCAATGTACTACAGCAATCCTAAACAGAATACAAGGTCTAGATTCACATCTATTATGCCTTACCCTGGATTTTGGTATGCCTCCTACTTTGGGGGCAGGGGGTTAATAAAAATGATACTTATTATTATTTTTTAAATGAATTTGTTGAAACTTTTATTTTTTTTATTATTATTTTTTTCTTTATTGGGTTTAGAGAAAGAGGAAGTGAGAGGGAGAGAGAGATAGAAACATCGATGAGAGAGAACATCAATTGGCCGCCTCCTGCATGTACCCCCACTGGGGATTGAGCCCACAACCTGGGCATGTGTCCTGACCAGAGATGGAACCAGCAACCTCTTGGTGCATAAGTCGACACTCAACCCTGAGCCACACCAGCCGGAACAAAATGATACTTATTTGGATAAATCAATGTGGCTGCTTTTCTGTCTATCCAAGAAATAAAAAAAAATTCAAGCTTCCTTTTATTTAAAAGTAACAATTAAATTGTAAAATCTTCATTGGATGAGTTTACAATTTGCCCTCAATACTCAAAAAGGTTATCTTTGTAATTTAATCACCATTTTTATTTTAAAAATAAAATTTTTTTCTTTATTGATTTTAGAGAGAGAGGAAGTGAGAGGAAGAGAGAGATAGAAACGTTGATGAGAAAGCACATCAACTGGCAGCCTTCTGGATCGGGCCCGCAACCCGGACATGTGCCATGTGCAGAAATCGAATCAGTGACCTCTTGGTGCATGGGTCAACGCTCAAACACTATTTTTAATTTATGTATTATAGATGACAAATTGATTTTTTTTATTTTACCCTCACCCAAGGACATTTTTCCATTTTCTGTTCAGATAGAGAAGGAGGGAGAGAGAGAAAAGGAGAGAGAGAGAAACATCAACGTGAAAGGTAAATATCGAGTGGCTGCCACACGCATGACCCAGGGCCGGGAACAAATTGCAACTGAGATATGCGCCCCTAGAGCGAACCGAACCTGGGTCTCTCTGAAATGCAGGCCGACGCTCTAACCGCGGGGCCTAACAGGCCAGGGCGACAAATTAATCTTTTTGAACCTGCTTATGACAATTATGGACAAAGCCAGTATCTACATGATGCCAACAAATCAAGCAATGCAATCAATTTAGGGAAAGAATCAAACCACAGTAGTCAAATAGAGTCTCTACTTAGTAGACTGAGAGTTTAAGAAATTGGTGTATTTTTCTTCCTTATACAATATAATTAAACAAACATAAAGTAAAAGTGTTAATTAATGAACTTCAATTTAGTATTCTGTTAAAGCACAATTTTCTTAACTATCAAGTTTGAGACATTAGTTTTACAAAACATTCAAAGACAACTGAACATATATAATCAAGCTGTCATTCATACTGTTTCTATTTTAACATCCTTAAAATGAATTGTCTGTGACTTTTCTGTAATCGGAAATTAAAAACTATTTTTAATGTAAGTGAAAAATTTGAATACGTAATAGAAATATTTTAACTATTAAAGATAGACTTTTTCACTATGTCCCTTGGCAGTAAGAAGACAGATGACAGTTAGATAAATGATAAATAGAACTCATCACAAGGATAACTTCTGCGATTTGTATAATTAGCACAATGACTCTTGGAGCACAAAATAAGTTTATCAAAAAAATACATGGAAAAGTTAATATTAGTTGTCATTTCTAAAAGTAGGCCAGAGTAGATGAAAGATTACTTCTAGCTAACATGGAGCAAATTAAATTTTAAGAGGTTTAATACATTTATTCTCACTCTAATCACATTGCCCACCATCCAGGTGATTATATTATGCATGTGGCTTCTCACAAACTCAAAGTTTTTAAATGCAACTTGTTTTTCAACCAATTATATTCATATTATCTATAAAGTTCATTCAGATATTATAATTCAATGTTATTTTACTATAATTAATTTTATAAATACCTTTGAGTAGGGAAGAACATTTCCTTTTTTAAATATGTTTTTATTGATTTTTTTAGAGAGAAAGGAAGGGAGAGAGACATAGAAACATCTATGTGAGGGAGATTCACTGATTGCCTCCTGCACAACCCCTACTGGGGATCAAGCCCGCAACCTGGGCGTGTGCCCTGACCAGGAATGAAACCGGGCCTTCTCAGTCCATGGGACGATGCTCAATCCACTGAGCCACACAGGCTTGGATGGAAAAACATTTAAAAACTCTTTTTTCAATAAATATGTAACCTAAACAGAAACAATCTGAATAAGTTCATTGACCCTGTTATCCAAAAGCAGATTTTTAAAAGCAATAAATGATAGCTGTTTTTTGGTCCCATAATACCATAAGATTTCATCAACAAAATATTTTAATGCAATCATAACTCTACAGACACAACACATCATCTATTTAAATCAAGTGGTAAAAAAGGGTGCTTACTGCAAAATCTTCCCTCCACTGATGGGCTGCTTGAACTTTCTCCGCTTCCAAAGCCAGGCGCTAAAAAGAAAACAACAGATCTTAGAATTCAAATGACCACATAAATATGTACTTGTTACATAAAGTCTTTGAGTTTTCAAATCAATTATGAGAACAAAAACAAAAACAAAAAACCCAGAAGTGACTTCTTATTTATAATTCATAAATTCTAAATCATTTAATAATTTAACTTACTATAGTTAATATACAGTATATGCATTTACTTTTCAGTAATATAAGAAACATACTGCTCTTGAATACCACGAAGTTCATTAGCTCTGCCATCATTGTGCTTCCCATCAAAGACTAGCATTTCAGTTTTTAGAAAAAGCTTCAATCAGTAGAGTATTTTAAGGTAGTACATACCTTTATAGCACAGATTTCTATACTGGTGAAAAGGAAATGACATTGAGAAATCATTAAATATGTGCTAAGTACTGTACTAGGCACTTTGTTAAAAGTATTTTTAGTTGTGTGTGTGTTTGTTTTTTACCCAAAGCCACACAAAACTGTAATAATTTCCACCTTGCTGAAGAACAGTCTTCATAGTTTCTTCAGTGATAATCAGTGAGTAGTAGCAAGCTGTCCCAATCTGCATGCCTGTAAATGGCATTATTTACCTTCACTCTTGTATACTAAATGAGTTAGAGAATTATAGACTGACTTATTTCCCTAGGTCATAGATAAATCCATTCTCAGTCCGTTAATCACTTTTTGCAGATAGAGTCTTTTTTTTTTTCTTGTCTGGTGTTTAGATTTTTCTTTGTATTTCCCAGTGTTACTATTATGTTCTCCATGTAATAAGCTTTTACAAGAGGCAGGAACAGTTAGTGATTAAGAACACAGATATGAAACCAGACTGCCTGGGTTTAAATACCAACCCTGCTGTATACTAGCTGCGCAAACTTGGAAAAATTTAAGCCTTTTCTCCCATTTTCTCATGTGTATAAATAATGTGAGAATCTGCCCCATGGTTTGTTAGAAGGATTAAATGAGTTATTATATATACAGTGTTCAGCAGACAGTAAGTGATACGTGTAACAGCTGTCTAACTCGGAAGAGTAATTACGATTCCATTTGCACTCTGTGTCCATGTGAGAAAACAGCACAGAGTGTGCGTCTGTGGCCTGCTCCCCACACACAGTTAGAAGACAGTGACAGAAACAGGACAAGTATAACATCAAATGTAATAGATGTGAATGTATTATACCCATCCTTAAGATATAAGTGATCAGGTTAGGGTTTGTAAAAAGTATAAATCCCAGTGGTTCACTGGTTCGTGTGTTTAACCTTTCACAATGAACTGCGCTTCGGGGTGTACCCTTCCTCAGCGAGCGCACACAACGCTGGGTGATGCAAACAACCCTTCCAAGCAGTTTTCACGTCAGTGTGTGGCCTTCTATTCCCTGCTACTTAATATAATCTGTTCATTTTTTAAACTATTATGTAGGTATTATCCATGACTACAAAATATTGCCTAATGGGAGGTCTCAATGGAAGGTCCCTAAGCTGAATTAAAAGGAAAATTGCCCAGCAATTTTAAACAGTAAAGGTTTCGGCTATCAGTTACTGGGCAGAAACGGAGTGCAATAGGAGCTAGTAAACGTTAGGCATTGTGCCAGGGAAAGTAACCAGAAAAGGTTCTTTATCCCTACAAAAACAAAGAGCTAAACGGAGCAACACTAAAAGAGTACATGCATTTCAGTAATAGTGTTATCACATTACTTTTGGAAACTTAAATTCAGTGTGAAAATGTAGCAAAAAAATGAATAAAATAGCAAAAGAAATGGATGGAAATGGAAACAATTTCTTTATAAGAAAAATTCAGTATGGGGAGATAAAAAAGAAGAGACGGAGTGAGAAAATAAACATGAAGGCATATTCTTGATAAAATTCAAAGTGTAAGTCTTCTCTCATTTAAAGAAAATTTTTTTCCTTATTGATTTTTAGAGAGAGAAGAAGGAAGAGGTAGAAAGAAACATCGATGAGAGATAACATGATTGGCTGCCTCCTACATGCTCCCCACTGGGGATTTGGCCCACAACCTGGGCATATGCCCTGACCAGGAATTGAACCAGTGACCCCTTGGTGCATGGGTTGATGCTCAACCAGTGAGCCACACCGGCTGGGCATGTCTTCCCTTATGTTTAACAAATAATATAAGAACATCTGAACATTCATATGTATGGGGAAAACAATAAACTTAAGCATTTTGTAAACTTAAACAAAATACTGGATAATATATAAATAAGTTAAAACGTTTTTTTAGATTAAAAAGTGTTAGAACTCAAAAATGTTTTTGTCTTGGAGATGCATATCAAGATTTTTTCCTTTCACAGTACACAGAAGAAGGGTGCCTCCCAGCCCCAAACCCCCTTCCCACACAACAAAAAACACACTGGGGGACTTCCAGTCACAGGGATGTACCGTTCTAAGGCAGGAGCTCAAACTCTACCATGTTGTTCTCTACCCTAGAGAGCATGAGAAAGTCCAACTCAACAGATCTGATCCAGAATCACATGGCTTATGATGTAAACATAATCCATGCTTCATAAGACACAATGGCAACAAACTAAGACAATTCTCCTTGAGGGAGAAGAGTCCAAACCAACTCTATTTCTTTTTTTTTTCAATCCTCACCCAAGTACATTTTTACACTTTATCTTGAGATATAGAGTGGGAGGGAGAAAAAGGAGAAAGAGAGCGAGAGAAACATCAATATAAGAGAGACACATCTAGTGGTCGCCTCCCACACGACCCTAACCAGGGCTGGGAACAAACTGCAACCGAGGTACATGCCCTTAGCGGGAACCGAACCCGACCTCCCTGGTCTGAGGGCAGACACTCTAACCACTGAGCAAGACCGGCCAGGGCTCAACTCTATTTCTAATACATGTTTTTAAACACTAATTTTATAAAGTAAATGCTATTCATTACAAGATTCAGAAATGGTTTTAGAAATTTAAAGACATAGTTATATTAAAAAAAAAAAAAAAAACTGGCCCTGGCTGGTGTGGTTCAACTGGCTGGAGCATCGTCCATACACCAGAAGGTTGTGGGTCCGATTCCCAGCACATACCTACATTTGGGTTCCATCCCAGGTCAGGGTGCGTATGGAAGGCAACCTATCAATCTTTCTCTCTCTCTCTTCCTTTCTCTCTCCCTCCTCCCCTGTCTCTCTCCCCCTTACCTGCTCTTTAAAAATCAATGAAAATGCCTTGGGAAAAAAGTGTATTTTAAAAGGTTGGTTTGAAGCTCAAAAGTTATTCCCTGGCTTGGAAATCTAAAAATACATAGTCATGAAATGCATTACTGTTATCTTCTTTGTTCATGAAGAAATTAATAAAATACATTTTAATCTGGCAAATTTCATGATAAAGCATAATGCTGAACTTTAGGTGCCTAAATAATCTATCTCGGGAACTAAAATTAATAGTTGCTGATGGTGCTCTTTCTTGTAGTAAAAGACCAGCTAGTCATGACATACAGGAAACTGACATGTCTTCTGGATACTTCAAGTCCCTAATTAACTTCTATTCTGGTCAAGTGATATTTTTCTTTAAAGGCCATGATTGACCATTAAATGCCACTGGCAAATGTGTTAAGACTGATAAAATTCCTACCTAATAAAATGTGAAACTTCGCTTGGTAAAGTATTCCTATTTCCATAGTTGGCTATATAAGTCTAGTCTGTAGTAATAACTTATTTCAGAAAAAAGAAAATGTGTTTTTTTCTCATTTAATTTATAGTAACAGTATCAGTCATTAAAATCAGACCAAGCACCAGATAGAAACAACGAACCCAGCTCAGCATAAATACCTATGACGGAAAACTAAAACTTAATTCTGCTCATACTAAGATATGCCATAAAGATTCATTAAATGGCTCTTTATAAATGAAAGAGCACATGTGTATATAAAAATCCTTTGGGTATAAAATGATAAGTATATATGCAATGTCACACATGTATATACATCCCTACCTACCTATTGCTCTGAGCCTTTAAAATAGAAAATCATTTTAATGACTTTTTTAGGACTCACAGGTTTAACAAAATGGACTTAAACCTAAGCCTTCAGACACCAAAGCTTTTGCCCATTCCACAAGAACAATCTTTAGTCTCTACTAAACCCATCCAAAGCTCTAACACCACTAGTCATAGAATGTATGAAGACAAAGTGCTATCGAAACTAAAACACTGGTAGAGAACTGTTTCAGGTTTATGGAAAATTTCCCAGCAAATTTTTAGAAATCGCCAAAGAAAAAAACAAAAACAGTACAAAAAACTGGATGTCAGTTTTAGAACTTCTTTACATAGGTCTTACCCTCAGATCCGGAGAGACTGTTGCTAATCAGAGAAAAAGCTTTTGATATGCAGTGATCAGCAGGGGGGGAAAACAGAGATAGAGAATGGGAGAGGTTTTATCAGATCAGAGAAAGATCAGCTCCCTTGAAGGCCTATTCATTCTCAACCTTCACTTTTGACATGTCTTTATCTCTTCCACTAGCATTGAATTCTGTCAGGTGACATGAAAGTCTAATGAAAGCACTATAATTATACAGTGTATAAAGAAATAATTCTATCATCCTTCTTAACAATACCTAAATATATTTTCTCTTGGAAAAGACTATTTTCCAAACCTGTATATAATTTGCTTCCTAGACAGTAAGTTAATTGCAGATGGAAGATAAAAGAAGTTTTCTAAAATATTTAATTATAAAAAAATTCTTTTGATGGTTTTGAAAGGAAACCTTCAGGGATCATATGACAGTTCAGTTAAACTCCAATAATGTTGATATTCACGTTAATCAAGAATTGGCTTAAAAACTTCACTCAAAGAAACAATTTCTTTGGCTAGTGCATGTCAAGAATTTTCTTTCTAATAAAGAAGCAATAGAACTTCACAACAGACTAATCCACATAAAATTTGCATGTGTTATGTAATTAATGTTCATATAATTAACACCCAATAAGGAATAGCAAATCATTCATTGTATTCTGTCTATTTTGACAATATTT